CTGCTATCTCTGGAATGTTTTAGAAGCATGTTTCTATCATTCTTTAATTCGTTTCTCATTTCTAAATATTCTTCTTTACTTTCTTGATATTTTTTGGTGATGGAAATTAAATAAGAACATGCTAACTTCTTTCTCTTTTTCTTTACTAGGTGTTGTTTCATTTTATCCATTTTCTTTCTTCTTTCTTCTAACTCACAATCTCGTCTACTTAACATTCTGAATTGATTAAGAAATGAATGGAGAGGGATTTCTATATTGTTTTTGATGAATGAATTGAAGTGATTTTGTTGAGTTAGAATATCCTGTGATGCATTCAAAATAGAGTTAGTCAGTTGAGTTGCTTTGAGATTGTTTAAAGTCATTTCACATAATGAATAAGAAATCTCAACTTGAAGTAAAGCAGCTTCATGAAGTATGTTTTTGAGTTTGATAATATTTTGTAGTGTTGAGAATAGCTTCTTTTCTGATTCGATGGACTTTTCTCTAATCATCTGATATTCTTGATCAACTGTTTTTATTCTTTCAATTGTAAATAACTTAAAAATCTCATTTCCCATTCTGTTCATTCTCTTCTAATTCCAATCATTGATTCTTTTAATTCAGTGTCTTTTCATTTTGAAGAACTAATCATCACAACAATTAATAAGTTATTATAAACAACACTATCTTGACATAAGAGAAGAAATGAAATGTTCATAAAATGAATCATCAAAAGGATCTAATAATCAAAAATGTGAATAATTCATAAATAATAAATTAATAGAAAGAATAATATAAAAAATAATAAAAATATTAAGTTCAATTTTTAGAAAAAAGAGAAAAAGGAATTTCACGAATTTACAGAAAAAGAACAAGTTCAAGAAACTGAAAGTTCAAAGAATACAACAAAGCAAAAAATGAAGAAATTAAAGAAGTAATTAAGACAAAATACAACAAGAAAAAGCAGAGTTTGAAAAGAAGAAGATTTATAGATCAGAGGAGTAACTAAAAAATAAGAAATGAGCATTCAAGAAAACTTAAACAACTTGATTAAACCACATGGAGGAAAACTCATTAAAACATAAAATATGAGC